CCCCCCCCCCCCCCCCCCCCGCCCCGTGCTATAACAAAAGCCCTTCTGTTTCAACTATGCTCCATTAAGAGGAAGGGCCATGGGTTAACAATAACTTGCCAGTATTACACGGTCTAACTGAACAAGGACTGTTTGTTTTCAGTTGGAAAAATACGGAAATTGAAGTATTGAACAACATGTTGATTATCAAGCTGTCTCAATCCACAGAAGATTAAATATAAGGGACCAAACCGCAATCCTTCCGTCAGGTCCAACTGTACTGTTTACACTGTCTGGTGTTCACCTGCTCATGTCTCTGCACTCACATTTTACCTCCCTTTTAGCACAATGTCCCACAGTTCTTGCAAGTAAAGGGATAGCATGTGGCTTTCTCTTCAAGGTGAAGAAAAACTCTGCTGCTTACCCTACTCCTGCCCTTTCTGCACCAATGCACACTCCTATAGGCAGAGCTACACCTACCTGCTTTTGTTTTCCACAGCAGCCGTGCCATAAGTCATCCCCAAGGTTTCGCTATTAGCTCCTGCACAGTATTTGTTGCCCAAACAGCTCTTGGTCTCCCTCTTCCTCCATGTTTCCCATCTCTCCTGCACAGGCTCACTGACCTGACTGAAAGCTTCTTTTCATTTTTGGTAATCAGTAGCTTTGGGGTTGCCCACCTGCAGCTGACAAGGGAGCAGGAATGTCCTCAATCACCACAAGCCCATCATGAAGCTGCACCATAGGTCTCATTTTGCCCTTATTTTCAGGCAGAGAAGGTTTCCATGAGGCTACAGCAAGCAGAGCCAACAGCTGGCAGCCTCCCAGCAGCACTGACCCACAGCGTGGTCAGCGTGTACTTGTTACAGCCATGGGATTGGCTGTCACAGGAGGCAACTCCAGGGCATGGCTGCCACCAGGTCAGCAGAGTATGGAAAAAAATTGTAAAAAGCACTGCAATTTACATTGTCCACAAGCAGCTCTTCAAGCTGCCCAGCTGGCGACATCCTTGCAGCACCTGTACCTGAGCTACTGGAAAGCAACTCACCCACTCAGCTGAAAATCAGGGCAGAGTGGCTAGCAATGGCTAATGCAAGCCAAGTCTTAAATCAGACTCAGGGGGTTTTTCCCTCCAGTACATTAGTTGTCTACATTGACTTTTTTCCCAAACGTATCTTTCCCATGGCTAAGGGACAAAGGCATGCCCAGGCGCTCACTGGCCACTGTAGCCCACACACCAGCAACATTGCCTCGATTCACAGTGGCTCTTGACAACAAGGTTTGTGGCAGTAGGAAGGATCCTAGTGATACTCCCTGGGTGGAAACCATTGTAAAAGGAATGAAGTAGCCCACAATGGCTGAAATCACTGTCTCACCCAGAATATTCCTTAGACTAATCAGTATCAGATATACCACAAGAAACGTTCGAGCACTTGAAAGGCCTCAGTGGGCTATTCACAAACTGGGCAGTTACGCTGTGCTGGTTAAGTGAGCTTACAGTCTCTTCTTTTGCATTCCTTCACTTGTCCTGATACTTCATAGTTTTACCCAATAAAGGATTAACGCTTCCCTGAAAATTCTCTCATAATTAAAACAAAAGAGACCCCTAAAAGACCCCACCTTACAAATGTAAAATAAGTCTCTAGATAAAAACTTAGAAGTATTATTGGCAAAGTAGAGCAGTGACTGTTTAAGATGACCTGTGTAATTACAATACCATGTAGATTCCAATACTTTTCGGGTAATCATAAAAACCCCTTTAACTCACAACAGAATCATACATCTTATTAGCTCACAGTCAAACTATATAAGGCTACACATTCATGTACCTCTCCTGCACTTTGTGGGCTAGTACATATTCATTTATACCTCATGTCTAGGAATAGACAACAAATCCAGACACTTTTTTTTTCTTGAAAATTATTGTATAGAATCTGCCACATATAGATCTTTGCCAACTCATGCTTCCATGTCAGGAGCCTTTCCTGAACCCTCCAAAATAAAATGCTTCAAGAACCACCTAACTAGGATTAGCAATTTCTCTTTATAATGTTTGCAATGGAGGGAGGTGTCAGGAGAAAAAAAAAAAAAAAAAAAAGCGCCTTTTGCCAAACACTCTTTAAATGAGTTGGGGAATATTTTGTATCCTGAACACACAGCTGACTCAAATGCAGACACAGCATCTGTAATTCAGTATTGCCAAGCCCATCTATACTTTCCAGATGACCCCAAGTCTCCTACAAAAAGCAGACCTCCTCTTCAAGTAAAAATAAATTTAAAAACAAACCCTATCAAACATATTAATTTAGATTAACTGTAATTCCATTTTATGGTGCAGAAATTCAGCAGCTTCCCAAGAGCAATTATTGTGTTCTAAAAGGGAACAATTAAGAAGCTGTTTAGATGAGGTGAATCTTCTTTTAGCCTCAAAAACTAAAGGGTTTACACTGCTCAAATCTGAGAAATGGATATTAAATTATTCAGGTTACCAAGCAGATCAGTTCTCCACATTTAGCCAGACCACTGTGAAAAAGGAAGATACAGCACATCAGACCCACTTTCTGCAGGGTTAGACAGCTTTCAACTTCTGGGCCAAAGACTATCTGAAAACAAACTAAACCCATCAGATCCAAAGTTAAGTTGTTTCACAGTATTACTCTCCAGCTCTCCCTGTTTAACTGAAAAGCTGCAATATCTTAATCTGCTCCTGACTGAGATTGCTTGTGCAAGAGAAGGCTGCGGTTCAGCAGCAGCAAGGCACAAGAATTCACCACAGGCTGAAACCCAGGGATCCATATATCATCCTGACTATTTCCACTGGCTTAGACGTCTCTGAATACCAGTGGAAACGTGAACACTGTACAATCATTTCCCATTTGAAAGGCAGATCTTAGCAAAAATAGTTACCTTCACATCTACTTTGGTAGTTTATTAGGAAAAACAGAATTACGCCTCCCTTCTTATTGAGAATTGACCCCAAATTGTGCAAAAGCATATGACCTCCTAAGTCTGGAATTAGGAGCTAAAAGGTACTTAGGGTGTGTTGGTTTGGGTTGGTTGGTTGGTTTGGGGTTTTTGTTGTGTTTTATTTTAAAAACATTTTTCCTTATGCAAAGCTTTGCAATATCAATCAGAAGTTGCACAGCTCTTACTATAAGGATGTTCCCAACTCTGGCAAATTATAAGAGCAGAAATAAAGTAATCCTTCAGGTATCTCTGAGACCAAACAACTAATGAATTCCATGCACAGAAAAACCTGAATAGTCAAAGCATGAGAACAGAAGGAAAAAACAAACCAAACCAAACACACACCCCCCACCCCCAAAAAATAATCCCCAAACACCCTAATTCAGATGTGGAAACCTTACTGTCACTGGGCTTATTTTTTCACGTATCTTTACTCTCATGAAGCACTCTTCACCATTTCTTACATTATACTCAAAATCTGCCATCTGGCAAGAAACCAATTAAAACCAATAAACTTTCCATTAAACAAAGTGACTGAATACAAAGAGCAGATTATAAAACTGTCATGATTTCTTTAGATTAATAGGTGATGCCATAGTACCTCTTGGTTTAAGAATTCTGATGCTGCTCAGTCATCCTGTGAGTTAACATACACTGTCACACAGTAAAAACATATAGCAAGGTTTGATATTTTCACTTGATTAGAATCATGAAACAGTACCTGGCCACAGCTGGAGTAAATAGTGAAGAACCTCTATGTGTTTTTTGAAGTCCAGGGCACTAGCAAGCTCTTCTGAGTCTGTGAAGACTCTGTTGTTATGGTTGGTGGTTTCCTGCCTCTGGCTCAGTAACACAGGCCCAAAACATACAGCTAAATTCTGGCACGTCATCTTATTTACTTCATGGTAAGAAGCCACCAGTTTCAGGTGATCCAACAGCATCTTCAGGGTAGCCTAAAAGAACAAAATACTTCTGAGAAAATAAAACACTACATGAAGATAGTGTTGACATCCTAACATCACCACACTAGAGGGCTAAGATCAAGGCTGATGGCTAAGGTTTTTCTACCAATGCCCACCAATGGAACCATCTAAGTGCTGAATTAGAAAAGCTGTATTAGACTATCACAGAGCAAACCAGTTAAAATAGACTTTCTGGTAAAATTCAGGTTTTTTTTATCTGATCTCAGTTTTACATGGATGAGTTTTCTCACAGTGGAAAGGGGACATGAGAGAGGGGGAAGAAGCTGCAGAAGCAGTAGAGATGATCCAGGTACATCAGCAAATAAAGCAGCCCTCAATATGACCTCAGCATCAGAGCAAGCTTCCAGGTAACTTCCAGGTACTGTGCAGGCCACTCACTCACTCTCTTCCATGGGCTGTGGTTTTCCACAGAGGTGAATTCAGCAGGTAATGGTACACAGCACTGTTACACTACACAGTGTGGGAAGCCAAGGCTTTATTGCACATGCTTAGGAAAGTGGAATGCATTTGCCTATGTAATTACGACACACAGATTAGAGCGTTTCACAGAAATGGAGCAGGACACCACATGGGAATAATCTTCATTTAGAAGTAGTGATCACAGCTCTTCATTCAGTTTCACAGAGACAATATAAAATGCAAACCAGAATAAATCCAGCAACGCAGACTCTCCGATTAACCACAGCATGGAAGTATTTTCAGAGATGCGGAGCATCGAAAATCCAAGTAGACCATTACATCAGGAAACAGGTGTACACATTTTGACGTATTTTATACGCAGCATGAAAACGTTCCTTTATTTTCAGAAGCATGCAATTTACCTGAACCCGCTAACACCGCTCACCTTCTCAACGTCTGGCAGGCAACCCAGAAGAGCTGCTGTGTGCTCAGAGTCCCTCGGGTCATTCTCACAACCACTTGCTGTCATTTTCAAGGGACTTTTCACCATGGCATCCAACACTGCTTCGTAGAGCTGCTTGGTTATCAGGGGAGAGGGTAACTCTCGCAGGTAATCCTTCAGGACACCTTCACAAGAGACACAAGAACAGTTGCCTTTAGTTGCAGAACCCCTTTCCAGCGATTTTAGGGAGCACTAAAGCACATCAGCTTCACCTGTCCCATGAGAAAATCCTCCATGTCAGTGACAGATTTTGTAGTCAGGAGCGAGGGATGGGAGGAGGGCAGCAAAAGTGCACAGTGAACCGTGGGTACACAAGGACGTCCCCACAAGGCCCGGGGCACCAGCACCCCTGGCCCCGCACCAGCACCCCTGTCCCCTGGCAGCATCTTCAACCCCAAACAAGGCAGCTCATCACAAACTAAGGATTGAAACCAGGGTAGGAAGATGCACTACCTCTAGAGAAGAGGGGTGCGTGTGGAGGCTGCTGTGTGTGCAGGAGTGGGTACACCAGGCTCAGGCTGAACATCCCTCCAGGTCCCCCCTCCTGATCAGAGCAAGGCAGAGCCAAGGAAAGGGCTCTTAGCAGTCCACCTCCTGTCCAAGGAAAAGAACTCCTACAAACACCAAGTCTTCAGCTTAATGACACCACCTCCTTTATCTTTGACCAGCAGTTAATTTTCCTTTTCAGTTTATTTTCAGCTATAAAATTATAAGCAAACATTCCAGTGGCACATTTGGTAAAGCACACTGCTTCTTCTCACCTACCAAAGCACAAACCACACAGATGTCCTCAAATGGAAAACGTCAACTCCCCCCTGCCTCTGGGTACTCTGTATCCCCAGCACATCGCTAGCTTCTGCTGTGACTAACGTAATTCACATCCACGGGAGACACTGGCTAAAACACCTGTGCACTGAGCTCTCCCAGTTGCAGAGACATACTGCCCTGTTTCAGAAGCTGGGAATGCTAGAGAAGAGGCTGTTCCTAGTGAATGCAACAACCAGGCAAGTGCCTCACTAACCCCTGTTCCTTCAACAGATGCAAACAAAAGAATTGAGCCTTTGCATTCTTGTAAGCTGGCTTTAGAGACTGGCTGATAGTTCAGTTTCAGTGGTGTTTCAGTGACTGTAAGAATTATAATTAAAAAATAAAATTAAGACATCTAACAGCAGCCCCTGGAAAGAGGATGCTCTCCAGGAGCAACATATCCAGTACAACTGATACAGAAAACTTGGAATGAAACAGGCCTGCCTCCCAGCAGCTTTTATTTTCCTTAAAAAATGCATTTAGTGCCACAAAGATCTACCCATTTTAGCTAGACTGCAATTGAATTTAAATATCTACTTAAAGAATAAATGGTGGGTTAAAAAAATATTTTTGAAAGCAGGTACTGTAATTAACAAAGCAGCCTGTGCTCTAAAAAGGCAAAGTTGGAAAGGTAGATTTTTTTAGTATGCACTCCTCACAGCCTTGTAAAATCCCAAATCACAGCAAATACCATCACACTGTGCTATTTAACAAAACAACTTATCAACTCAGTCTTCTCAGTAGAAAATGGTATGTCATAATCAAATCAGCTTATACTGTTGAAACACAACTGTCTATAAACAATCATTTGGTAGGAATTCCTGTAATAGCAGCCACAGCCATAGGACTACCACCTGTCAAATGACTCCTGTTTAGCCCTGAATAACAGGATAGTTTGGGAGCCATGAATGCCCCTTGACCTTTCTAAATCCTTTTGCTATTCAGTCAGCTAAATTAGCCCTGTAAGAGGCTGCTGCTGGTTTTTTTTTTTTCCACGTATCTATGCTTCCCACTGCTGCCAGTCCACTAATACATTCCCCTTGACACAACCACACACAACAATTTTAGACAGTGAGCAGAAATTGCCATCCACTTCATTAATTCCTCATTTTTCTGACCTACTGAACTGTTAACAGTATTGCATGCTTTATGCAGAGATATGAATTCACGTGGATGTGAACAGACACGATGCAACAACATGACTACTGGTCAGTTCCAAAAACTGGCTGCACACTTCAGTCTGAGCCATGAGCCCACTTGTGTGTAAGCTTGTGTCAATCCCAAAAGCATTTCTCAGTCAATGTTTAATCATTAAATGTTCATTCTTTAGTCTTTGGAGAGTTGTCAAAGAAAACCCACCTTTTAAATCTTTTTGAAAAGGAGTGCTACTCAAATTCAAAAAGGACACAACACAGAACCTCTCTTCAAATCAGCCAAGATTTATGCTGAGGATTAATATTTTATGGAACGCATGTTCTGGCTGATAAAAGTATGAATCATGTGCATCAGCCTCAGCATTGCAAATACAGCAGTAAAACATCAGGGGGAACATTCCCCCTTAACCCTGCTTCCTAAGCACATGCAAGAGAGGTTTTGTGGGCTCTTTTATTCCTAGCACTAAGCATGGTGGGTACCTCAGGTCTGTCAGCAAAAATTGCAGGTTCCCCTTTCAAACCAGACCACACTGTTTACAGTAATTAGTGAGTGGGTTACACTTTGGTCAGCAGAAGTTATGGATGTAAACACCCCTTCCCCTCCCTGCTTGCCCCAACTCACACAGGACCCCCACACTCAGTCCTTTCAACAAAACATTAATGCAGAAACTACAGGCAACCATACAGCACAGCCGCAGGGGTACCAGGGGAAAGAATTTTTTTTTTAAAATGTCATTTCTTAAAACTATCTTCACCTTATAAGGAAAGCAGCATGTAAGGAAACTCTTGCAATATAACATATACAAAAGCATACCCAGTAGTCTTCCCATAAAGCTGACACCAAGGCTGTAGTCTTTTCACTCTTACAATACAAATTCCAAATGCAAAAAATTATCCTTCAGTAGTACAACCAAAAAAAGAGCCAGCAGGACCTGCACAGTCACCAGAAGTTCACCATCACCAATGAGGCTTGCAGCAACGTATACTTAAAAACTGAAGTACACTTTTCTATTTAACCACCACATCATAAACTTGTGATGGAAAGGTCAGACTGTGCCACTGCCTTTCCAGGGCTTTGCATCAGTACCAAGCTCCCCTGCGGTTCAGACTTTGGTTTCATCCAATTCTGGTTGGTTCTGAGTGTGCAACATACTTTGGGAAAAATAAAAATGCTTATGAAATGTTACAGGTTCTATTATATATGGATGAGAATTAAGTTTCTATACCCTTTCCCATGATACTCCTGAATTGTTTCTGCAAATACTGTTTTGTCATAACAACTACTTGCAGCATGGGATCATAATGCCATTTTTATTATTCCGTTAGCCAAAAGTTTACATTAACCAAATAGCAGTTTACCATTTGTCTGCTTATTATCAGATGGTTTCTGCTGTTTGGCAGAAAGCAAGAGGGGGTTTTGCCCCTTCTGAGTTGATTTACAAAAATCAGGAAGAAAACAGGACTTCAATAATTTCATGAAACAATCTGATCTTAGAAGTTATCACCACTTTTTCTCTTTAATTTATTGTAAAGAGAAGAAAACTATCTAGTTTAAAAGATCTTTTACACTATTTACTTTTACTGTACACCACCTCTTTATAAAGGCTGTATCCCATCAGAGTGAAACACAAACACAAGTTTCTGCTGCTGAGAATGCTGGTACTTGTGAGCAACACTGAACTCAACAGCAAAACTCGCCAAGGCACATAGGCAAATCAACTAGCCGCACATTCTCAACCAAATGTTTATTTAATCCAGTAAATGCCACTATCTTCTGAGGCCACTTTGCATAATTATGAAGTGTAATGAACAAAATTCATTCCCAATACACCAAAATGAAATAAACCAGCAAACAGCGTAGAATTGTCCCATATAGCTGGATGTTGGATGTTACAGAAAGGGCTTTGGCATAGAAAATTTATACCCTGACTACTGTTGTTGTTATTGTTGTTATATTTTCCATCCCCTGGATACTAGGAAATGAATGCTCCCATCTAATTTCCTGAGCAATTGGTGTAGTCAGCGATGCCTGAAATTAGATCAACTTTGGCTTACATAACAAGTATCAATAGTTATAAAACTGTTCCACTTCTAAGCAAACAAAAAAACCCTCAACAACTTACTTCAGTTGTGCAGTGCAACTCCTGTCAATGTAAAGATGCAGATGCAGACAGGCTTCCCTAAGACCTCCTTGCTCCTGTACTCCCAGTCCCTCCCATGTTTGCCAGGAGCTTGCTGTATGACAGCAAGTAGAGGCCCAACTCCAGCAAGCAGGAGAAAGCTGCTATTTAATTACTTTTTAACAGAAGTAATGATCAAATGAAGGCACTTTCCTGCAGCTCTAACTAGCCTGCACAATACAATAGGAAGCGTTTCCAAAAATGCTTCAATTTCCAATATAAAGGGAGGACCGCAGGTTGATCGAGATGGCCCTTGGATCACATGCAGTAGAACAACCAGCTCAGAAGATGTGCCTGATCACAACCAAGTGTTTAAAGATCTGCTCCAACAAAAACCAACAGCAGAGGTTTAACTGGCTCCTTTCAGGCGTCCTCTTCCCTCTGTAACTGGTGGAACAGTTACTGAAAGTGGTTCTATCCATACTTTCTCCCTCCAAATCACTGCTGCTTCGTATTTGCACATCCCCACGGTCACTGCACCCACTCCCACCTAACCTTTAGCAATACAAAGCAGCAGTAAACAGCTTGTTAAACGACAAAAGAAAACTAGTTCAGATCACAATTTCACCTTCTAAATGGTATGTTGGGAATATGGCATGATTCCAGATTAAAAGAAAAGCAAGCAAATGTATTACCTGTTATGACATTAATATCTGGGTACTGGCTTTCACAGAGAGTAACAGCCTTGCTGTCCCTCTCAAACGCCTCTCGAAGCTCTTTCTTAACCGCTGCTGAGCCACATAACCGATACAGGCCTACCACCTAGAAGCAAAAACAACAGCCCCACATCAGTCATTTTCCTGCAGAGGGGAGTAATAACTGACATCATGTATTGTCTCATCTTGGAAGTGCAACAAAACCAACTGTTTGGAAATGTAAGTTAAGGAAACTCAGTGCAAATGCTTAACATCAAACAGTCACCTACGGTATCAAACATTTTACAAGAGACACAGTTGGGACTTAGGTAGCAAGTGAGTAATGCTAATGTTTCCTGCAACAGTGAACATGCTGAGCAGTATTTTGTTGACAGAACATGAGTTTTAAATTGGAATCATTTAATGCTTTGCTTTTATGCAAATTCAGAAAAAAAAAGAAATACAGATGAAACATTTGTTTTCTTCTTATCCTACTCCTTTAGATCACCGTTATTTTTCCTAGTATAATCGTTTAATTATAACAAATAGAACTGGAACTTCAGCAGAAAGAAATAAGGAGAGAAAGCGTTTTGAGCTTTATGTATACAAAATTACACTATACCAAAATACAGTTATTAATCATTAGCAGAAACAGCAGTCATACAACTGACTACCTACTAAAAATAAGTAATGCTATAAAGCAATTAAAAAAAAAAAATCTTTCCTACAAGTTATATAGAAAACAAAATTTAAAATATTTTACACCAATAACCAGAGTTTCAAGAAAATTATGAATACTCCATTATTACACCTATAACATAATGTTTTAAAGATTACAAGATGCTGACTTCCACGGGTTTCAAATTTTATGAAAAGTTTTATGCAAAACAAGGGTTAACATGCTCATGGTGATAGGAATGAAACTCATACCACTTGGACTGAATTATTAGTTAAATCATGTGCTTTCATGCACTCAAATTTTGCATTTTATCACCATTTACTCTTCATTTTCAACAGCATCATTTATACAAAGCACTCCTATGATTTTAAGGAACTACATCTTAAACATATTGATTTTATTGTAATGAACATTATAGGCAGCTGTACTGAGCAGTAAATGGTTAGTCCAAAACTACCATGGATTCAAAAGACAAAAAAAAAAAAAACAAACAAAAAAACAAAACCAAACCACGAATCCAAAACTCCTGACTTGGACCATGCAAATCTATGTTTGCAAACATGAATTATCTGTTTGTCCATATATTAATTCCTCTTTAAGTAATAGGAATGGAATTTGTACTCCCTTGTTCCCAAGATTAAATACAGTGTAGTATTTGACTAAGACTTAAACTTTCAAAGATTTCTAATGCAACGCCTGAAATTCAGGTGGAGATAACATGGCACAACAGTAGTCTGCAGTCTATAGGAAAGTCAGAAATGTCAGACAAGCGCGTGGTTAAAACAAAGTTAACAGTATATTTTGCATTTTTGGTTCTCCCTGTGCAAATACACAAATTAGATTTCATGCTCAAAAGCATCAGGTACATTCAGACAATTCAGATCCCAATCGCTTCATTACCAGTGTTGCCTTGATTACCCAATATCATTTGCATGACTAGGTGCCAATAAGCCCAAAATAAAATGCTGAAACCATGGGGGACATATATTAGAATAAAACTTCTCTTTTCCACTGATTTGCATAATGTTAGGAGAAGTATTCACAGTAAGAATCACTCATTTGATATTAGTAGTGACTTCCAGCAAAGTAATTACACAGAAATACAATTTCTGTCTATATTTTATGACCTAGGTTATAAATAGCAGTTAATTTCACAACACCTGGAATTACATCCAACCTGTCAGCAATTTAAAATAGTAACAGTGGGAGGTGTGATTACTTCTCAATTTCACCTGAGCAAGAACAGGTGTAAAAGAAACCAAGGGCTCACACATGCTGTGGAACAGAATGCAAGAATCTTCCCACCCGTTTCAAATTCATTGCCAGGGGGAACATCCGACCTTAGGACTGTGCATAGTCCTTCCTAACAGACTTCTTGTCTAGCATCTGTAACTGGCTATTTGTTTCCATACCTCATTTCTCATACATATTTTTGTCTGTTGGGTTACATCAACCAATAAACTGTATTAGAATGAAGACACTGGGCACTGCTCATTTACAGCATTCATCTCCTGTCCTAATTGTGAAAACCAACTGAAGAAAGGCAAGGAGCAGTGGCATGGGGAAACAACTACTTCAGCCCCTCAGGGTCTCCTCCTCATCTTACTGCTGTGTACAAAGTGATAGCAGAGACAAATCTCTGGCATGTTGGCTTGAGACTGCACACATGAAAGTAAAGCTTTGTCAAAAGACCCGTTGTCATTACATTGTGTCATTGCACACAATGCCTCAGGTTTGGGTAGGCGGGAACATTATATTCATTTTTGCATTTAGATACATGTCCTTATGGAGTGATTCTTGTCTCAGGAATCAAGTATTTTCAACTTCTCAGCTCTGCTGTTTGAGGATGACTACATGCTGGGGGCTACAGGTTCCACTATCCCTAGTCCTAAAGCACTACTGTGAGCATCTCCTGTGAGCATGTGTACATCTCCTCTTCAAAGGCCAAGTTAGAAGCACTGATTTCACAGATTTCACACAGTCCTGTTACTCCTCCCACATTACAATAACTAGTGTTTGCTAAACAGGAGCAGCAACGCAAAAAAAATTGACATGTAAAGGTATTAGATTTCCCCTTTCCCACTGACTGCTCACCCACTGCAACAGCTATCCTGACACAGAAATATTAACAAAGCAGAATAAAATATGCACAGTACCTGACAGCCTCTCTTTTCAATCTCCAGAATGCATTTCTGCATCAGAAGTGGTACCATCAAGCCCGCATTTTCCTTCTCAACAACTTTTCGAGCATCTACCCCAAACATCACTGGCTCCCGATCTGCATCGAGGCCATCAAGAGAGTTCTCCCACTGCTCCATGAGTGACAGTTTGACATAAATTAGCCCCCTTGGTTCCAGTTTGACAGCCAGCTGATGCGTCTTTGTCACTCGGAAGAGAGTGGGAAGAGCCACGGTTCCATGACAACACACCCGATTTTTCCGTGGGGTGGGTTCCCAGCTGAACACCACGAGCTTTAAGTGCTGAGCGTTTTCAATTTCTATGTTGAACGTGTGGTCCATATCTAGAAATGTTGTCCTACATGTAAGTAGGGCTGTTCTTGCTTTGTTTACTGAGTCAACCTGTATTGCACAAAAGACATCTTTTGAGTCTATTCTTGGTGGTTTTAAGTCTTCAGCACCATAAAAGTGAATGCTCATGAGTCCAGAGATGTACTGAGAGCACTTGGGTTGATCAGAAAAGTTGTAGTGTCTGAAGGCATCAATATCTATTTCAGTTTTACCACTGTTACTTGGAAGGCTCTCCTTTCCCTTCCAACACTTGGTTTCATGCCCATGTTTACCTGATTTTGTTATAAGTTCAGGAGAGTCTCCATCACTGAGGTAACCACCTTTGCTGAAGGATTTGGAGTTCCTTGAGCTTTTCTTTTTGTAGGTGTGTTGCGACGACACACTGCTGTCAAGATGGTAACGACTTATCACATTTCTGCTGGCAGCTGTGGTTGAGTTTCCAGAAGACGGCAAAGACACTGTATGGCTTGTATCCCGGCAGCTACCTTTTGGCAGGGAAGGAGGATTATCTGAACTAGTATGGCTTGAAGCTCCCTTGACACTCAGCTTCCTACTCAGCTCTGGCAGCTTTTTCATTTTCATGGAAAGCTTCCTCACGGTCCTGGGAGATTTAATTCTATCAGGGAAAGGCCAGTTGATTGATCCGCTTTTTTTCAGAGGACTGGGACTTGGAGGAGAAACCTCTGTTGAGGGTATATCAGCCTTGTGTGCAAGTACAACTCCAGACCCTTTAAAAGAAAAGAGAAGGAATAATCATTTTCAAACTGCTCAGTAACTACAGTTCGCAGCAATGAAAAAGTAAATCTTGAACAAGGGGAAACATGTCGATTTGTCATAACTTGATAAACACAATTCATTCAGACAACCATCATTCATTCATCAGTCAGATGTTCACGAGCATTCAGAAAGCTGTGCTCTGCTGACTTGTTCAGCCAAATTTGGCTGTTCATGGTCAAAAGCCAGATTTGTTCTGCTTTATGGAGATGAAAGGGACAAACTACATATAAACAAACGAGCTATCTCACCCGCTGCATTCAGCTCGATCCATTTGTGCAGTATCCCCCATACAAGCAGACATGGCTGCATTCCTGGGGCACAGGTGCAACAAAACCACTCTAAAATGGGAAAATACTGGAATATGGCAAATGCACCCTTGCTTACAAAGCAGTTAACTATATAGCCAACACATCAGCATTGCTCACACCTCTTAGGTCTAGAGGTAAGACACTCATCTAGTAAAGAATATGGGTATACTCTTGTGAATGTCCCTCTATTACCCAGAGACCTAAATCCCTCCTGTGTAGACACAAACAGCATCTCACACCTTTTCTTCCATTTCTCTCAGCTCCTCCTTTCCACCACAGGATGGAGGAGGAGGAACACAATGAGGATTTATTCCTTTCAAAAGATCCATCCTGCACTGTCTCATTCATGCCAGGAACGTTCCATTTTTCCTGGCACAATCATCCCATGACAGGCCTTAAAGTTACACGGTTCCCAAGTGACGTCCTTGTGGGAAATCACCCACCTTTCAAGGTACCAAAAAAAAAAAAAAAAATTGCAACAGCAGGGACCGATGATGCTCAAGAGGGAAAAAGAAAAAAAGATTCCCTTAATTTAGCAATAAAAGACAACTGATTAAGGAACATGATCACACAATCAGACATAAGCTAATACTGCACAGTCAGGAACCTGCAGTTCACCTCATGCTCCAGTACTTGAGGAAATCCAAATACCAAGTTATAGCTCAAGTTTTTCTTTGCTTTCACTATCGTGAGGCCATAATGACTGTAAGAAAGGCAATGAATTTACACAAGTTAATGAAGCTCACAAGAGGGGAACTGACACCAGAAGGATACATATTAATAAAATTACATGAGTGCTTTCACTTAAGAGTCAATTTTCTATCCCTTGAGAAACCAATAGTGGTTCTTACTAGCAATAACCACCCCATTCACTCATCACTTTGCAAATTTTAGCAGCTCCCAACAGGACTCGCATAGCCTTGCCTGCGCAGACTAGGGTACTATGGAGCCCCTAAGCACACTAACCCTGTGTGGTGCAATCAGCCCAAGCAGCTCACAGACTCAAACACCTACATTCATCTGTCATCCCCCTTGCTAGTCAGGGAAAGGGAGAGTTTGTTTACAGCATATACAAAGAAGAAAGAAGCACTGTTTTCACAAGATACTCAGCAAATCACACTTTACAGAGGTTTCTCTTACATATTCCTCAAAGGTTTACTGCTTTAATTCTAATCACTTCAAGTCCAAATCACTGTACAGCTAGTGATTTTTACAAGTTCCCCATTCAAATTTTCACCATTTAACTATAATGTACTTTTTAAACTTAACTTAGCTTAAACAGTTAAATCAGGCAATCTGGCCTTTGACCAAAATGATTTGTTGTGGTTTTGTCCACCCCCCCCCCCAAAAAAAAAAAAAAATCCTACAAAGACTAGTTCTAGTCCCAACAGAAGTTTGGTTGTAATAACTTTTGCAGACAGCTGCTTAAAAGAGTATCTTTAGAAAGTTTCAGTTATGAAGGATAACGCATAGAATCTGTTTTCCAGAGTGACAGAGGAAAATTCACTTAGCCTGAATCTCATGGAAGTAGCTCCCTCACAGGGGAAGGGCTATTTCTAGCACGCCTGCTGTGCTTTTCTGGCAAGCAGCTAGTTAGAAATGTGATGTTTGATAAAAGCAGACAAAGCCTCCCCTTGTACTGCAAATCACAGCACGGTCCCACTGGTGGGCTGGCCTGGAGTGCTCTATAGCAATCAGTGCCATACTGCAGCCCACTAACATTAATCTTCCCTTCTGTCAAAAGTCTCTGGCACAGGCTTGGAAAAGCAGGCCAACAAATTAAACTTCCCCCCAGCTCATTAAAACTGAAGAGTCAATCTAACACTCTGACTTTTGTATCCAACTTCTTGCTGTGTTCAGCACCAAACAGTTAAAATGAAGTATGTGGCTGGAAGAAACTAACAGTGGAGTATTATGCAGGATGGTATTCCCATCAGCACTGAGCCACATGTTGTTCCACTAAAGCCAGCAATGTGCTGAGGTATGCACGCAATTTTAAAGAGTGTACATGACACAGCTCTGAACAAGCTGCAAAAGGAGCTGTAGCGGAGTCTGGTAACACTTCACTCCCCAGCTTACCCATCTGATACAGCTTTCTCACGAGGGTGCCCAAGGAACTGAGCTGCGCCTCAATCCTTTTAATAAGTCGCAAGGCTGTGCTGCAAACAGGCTCCTAACTGTCCCTGTCCCTGCTTGCTCTGCCACCACAAATCTCATCTCAGCAGTTAAACTTTAAAAATAACCCTACAGAAGGATGGTAGGAGGAGATGAAACAGAGGCACCTGTCGCGTAAATGACTTCAAGGCAGCATGGGGATGGTCAGTTTTATGATGCAGGTTATATTTATGTATGTGTATAAAATTCTTTTTTTTTTTTACAGTGAGAACACTCAACCACTGGAACAACATCCCCAGGAACATGATACCCCATCACTGGAATTTTTCAAGATGTAACTGGACAGGGTGCTAGGTAATCTCATCCAAGCTCTGTTTCCCACCAAAGCATAGACCAGATGATCCTCTGAGGTCCTTTCCAGCCCCAGTTATTCTATAATATAGTATCTTTACTACATTTACCTTGGGCTTTCTGGAAACTTTAGCAGTACGAGTAATAGAGAAAAAAAATAGCTTTTGAAGGACAATGCCATCAGAGTCAAAATGACTTGACATCCTGAGTGACTGCTTCCATCAGCTATTTGTTCAGCGTGACTAGTAAAGCCACATTTTTACTTTGCTCAGCAATAGGGTTGCATGAAAGGATAAAGCCTTTTCATGGCCAAAGAGACACAACTGGAGAGACACAAGAAGCCCATGGTGCTTCATGAACCCAGACCCCTGCCTCCCAGCCCATCCATTGGGCTTGCGACTGTCCCTTTGGTTGAGCAGGCTGGTGCTGACAGGCCGTACCACTACACAAGGATGCCCCAAGGGAAGAGATGACTCAAACTACCTTAAACACTTACAACACAGCCTCTGCCAGACACCTGCAGTGATTCAGCACAGTAAAAATGCTTGTCTGACCCTGCTTAACACTGTTTACATGAGCTTGGGCACATGTATCACTGTCATACGCATACCCACTGCCAGCAACACATGCTATTTTACAGGCACATTTGATTACTCTGTTATACATGTAACATTCCTCATCGCTTAAGGTAGGCCTTCTGAATTATTTTAAAGTTCCTCAGAAAACCTGTAATTTATTTCTGGTGACTAAGTTGAGGTGACTAAGTCAGGAAACTATCAGAAAACTATCGGTTCCTTATTACAGCAAGCTATTGAAATACCCAACAGCCACTCGTAACTAATAAAAAGGCCAAATTACCACCAACAAAAGGTGATAGGTAATTTAATTTTTTCCTACCATTCTCCAGACAAACTTATTAAGTACACTACATCTAACACTGAAAGCACATCTCTAGAATAAAGGCATTAGAGTTGAAGATCTAACAGTTTCATTTTGAAAAGAGAAAAATAATACAGCTTACACTGAGTAGTTATAACTTGCAAAACCAACATCTCCCTTTTGCCTACATTTTTCATGCTGCTTTATTATTACTATTACTTCTAAGATCAACCCAAGGATTTACTGGGAAAATGTATTAAAAATGAAAAAGCAGCAAGTCAAAACTGAAGAGCTCTAATACCTCAAAATTGTTCTTGTAGCAAACAGTGGGTGACAGAAAAACAGCTACTGTTTTTTCTGTGCTAGATTCCACAAGAAATACTGATCTGGATCCTCAACTGACACAAACAGCACAGTTCTGCTAATGTCAAAGCTTACTCAGGTGCAGGCAAATTATACTTTCAAATAGTTCCAGACCTGTTCTGAAACAAAACTTCACAGTACAACTGTAAATGGCATTAAGAGAATTCATGTTATATCAAATTCAAGCAACTTCAATTGAAATATAAGGAAAGCATCACCTCTATCCACTCAGCAACAGGGGAAAAAAAAAATTTTAAAAATAACTTTTAAAAATTGAGATAGAATGGAATTATTTCTATGTAGCAATTATCTAAATAAATGGAAAAATCTCCTCTTTTAACCTGTAAAAGAAGAGTCTTTTTTTACCCCTATAAAAATTACTACTTAAGACACAGAGACTGCATTGGTCAATCCTATATAATGCTTCAGAGTCAAAGAATGGAGAAATTATTAAAAAGGTAAAAAAAAATCTCTAAGAACTCTGTAAAGGTAGTTTGTTTTCTTCAAATACTATGCATGCTGACATTATGCAATCTGTGATAAACCCATCAACCCAGGGATTACTTTTACAGGAGAAAAAGTTATAAATTGCTTTAAGTAGTCAATTAAAATGGGAAATGATTACAGCATAACCTGACCAGGCTCATCCATGCCGAGAGGTGAAGGGGCTGACCACTGCCTGCTCTTCGTCACGGCAGCAATCCTCCGAGCATCCTTGACAGCAGTATCTCATTAGAGAGGAACAAGCACGCGTGACAGCACTTTAGATCTCTGACCAGACTTAAAGAGTTCAGTATCTACAACCAAGATGAGTTTGTTGCAGACATTTTAAACATCAACAATTCTGTGATGCACATAAATCACAACTAGCCCTACTCAGACACTAGTGTCACACCAAGATGCAAGCAGCAGCACCGCAGCTGATGCCAAGCACTGTCTCTTTGGGCTGCTCTAAGATCTCCCCTCGCTGTGTCTTTCGTGGCATGAAAAGCAGCTTTGCCCCCATTTCCCCAGTCAGAGGATATAAACAGTTAGTTGGCACAAATCAGAAACTGGAAAAAGCAATAGCTATTTTAAAATTAACTGCTTCCACTCCACAGCTGCCACATCCTTTTGGCTCTTTCACCAGCAGGTCTTTATGGCATTGCCACCCCACTGATCAAAGACATATGCATGAATAAATACTTGACCTGCACAAACTTCCCAAAAGCCCACCAACAAACTGGCTTCAGCTCTGCAGAAGGGGGGAGCAGAGAGACTTTTCTGCTGCACAGCAAAACATTTTGTTACCTCAAACATTATGCAAATATTTTGCATGGATGCTTTTCTGCCTCATGAAACCAAAGCTCCTGTCACTTGGAAAATTAAATCACAAAGCAACTTCCACCTGGAAAAACATACAAATAAGCAAATAGTATTTGCAACACATGGAGGGAAACTGGTAGATAGGATTTGCTGTCTGGTATACTCTATGGATATTGCTGGAAGCTTATTTGCAACATCTAAGCATGCAAAGTATTTGCCTGCATTGGCTCCAAAAGATGTATTTGGAAACCAGGACAGTGGTCATGGTCTAAGTGGAGAAAGAGCACTGTAGTTTTAGTATGATTTAAGCCAAACTCCAGCTGGTATATATTGGGGTCAATTGGGAATATGGTATCGATCTTCTTTTCCTATAACATTGAAAAGAAATCTGTTTATGGTGATTCCTACCAGGATTTTCCACCCAGACTGCTAACACCCATACATTTTCAGTAGCAAAAGCACAGTCCAGATCCTGGAACCTACAATGTGCAGGCCCTACCTGGATGTCTCTGAGATACAGACACACGTGAGATGATTCTGCTCATAAAGTAGACACTAATCTCAACAGTAATCCTCCCCAAAAGCAAAAATATTACAAATTTTTTGGAAGGCACTATCCAGAGCTCCACAATATAAACCTATTGCAGGAATCAATATTATAAGGGGATGTTCTTCAACATTCTGCAGGTGATACATCTATAAAAACATATAGTTAAGAGTTCAATCCTAAACAGCTGTAAAAATTTACTTTAACACTTTATGTATGCAGAAAACTATATATAGAATTTTTATATTGTATTTAAACCAAAAAAACATTCCTATTTTCCAGTCATAACCATTTTGCCTGTTCAAGAACGCATCATCAGATTAAAAACAGCCTCCAGGGTCCTTTACACTTAAACTCTTCTCCCACAAATCTAAATTGAGCTGGCACTACATTTCTAAATTACTGACTCAGAACCAAGTTATCTTATTACTCTTACCTTTTTTCTACTTGTTATAAACAAAATAAATGAATTATTTTCCCAAGCTCTGCTATAGGGGTGCCTTATTAAAAATAAGGGTTTTTTTAAAAGCCAGCACGGCTAGATTTATTTGCTAAGGAATTACCTGACAAGTCCTATTAACACAAATGGCATTTATTGGTGGAAAGTAACCAGATTAACACCAGGAACTAATGGTGTAAATTAAGACTATGGGGCAAATTAGCACCCCCACAACTATGATTCATTTTATTGATAAATAGATATTTCCTATGATTGTTAACTCCCAACAACTGAATTCTATCATTTATTTTTTCTTAATCTTCTAATAAAGACTCTCTCCAAAAATAACAAAAAGAATCCACAATCATCTCTCTACAAAGCTGGAAATCCAAGTAAGGCAGCAATGTTTAAAGTTTTAAAGGTAAAATTGATTCTGTTACCCAAAGAAAACAGCAAATGACAAAATGAACAACTATGTATTTTGTTGGCTTTTATAGTGTCCCATTTTCTTCTGTCTATACTTCTCAAAATTTAATACCTTAGACTCTAATATTAACCAATATTGACACATAAGGTAAGCAGACTTTTATAAAATCCTATCAGTAAGGTAAGCAGACTTCTCCCCAAAGGAGTAATTGCTTATCTGTCAGGAGTTAATGCTTAATGTACTCAACTCTCTAAGAATATAGACTTCATAGCAGTTGCATAATTCAAACAAGGTTCTAACACAAATAAAGTTAAATTGGCCATGTTGCCTTTCATGCAGTAATTTTGCATGGATGAGCTGTCATTTTAAATTCAGCTGAATATAACTGCAGATACCTTAACTGGATTAAAAAGAAGAACTAAGCCACTTCTCCATAATAAAGCCAATTACTGAGCAGCAGGGATCCACTTCATCATCAATTAATCTATTCAATGTGATCAGTATTCAATACATGCGAGAGTGCTGCATTTAAAGTACCTTAATTAACACAATGCCTAACAAATCAATCAGGGGAAATTTGTAACAATCCTCCTGGTTTCATGAGGCACTTTAAAAGGGCAATTTTGTTTTCAGATATGTTTCTTTAGTAGGAAAACAATTTTTACTTTTTTCTTCTTACACAAAGGTGTTTGGTTTTTTTTTTAAGAAATAGTCACCTATATATTGAGAGATTAACAACCGAAACGGGGGCCATACAGTTTGCAGGACAGACACAGAGCTTTCCTAAATAACCTTGCTTACTGACCTCTCCAAAGCAGCTAGAGCTCCAACATTGGCAAAAATCTACCTAAAAACATGTTTTTTCATCTATCTTGCAAGCAAATATAACCAGTCTAAGTAACTCATGCAGCTATAAAGTGAGCTATTTCTAAATAAACGCTCAATAACTTTTAACACACTTTGCAACTTAAAACATGCTTGTATCTGCAGCATTTCCACAAAAGGGACAAAATGTAAACTCCCAGATTGAAGACCGAGTGTTTTTTCTTGTGCTGTTTTGGTGCCTTCAGAAACAAGCCCCGTTCCCAGAAGCAATTTTTGTGCTGGGAATGCGGGCACAGCAGCTCCCGGCACACAGGGCTGTGGGGCCAGAAGCCGGCTGGGACAAAGGGGCTGCCTGGGGGCAACTGGGATGGGGAAAAGGCTCCTCCGGAGGGCAATGCACACCTGGGCTCCGAGGCCGGTGTTCCAGGTCCTCTCTGCTGAGCTGGGCAGAAATACGTGCTCTTAAACCTCAGTGCAAAGAAAGTGTGAACTTCCTCCAAAGAGAGGACCTGGAATTCCCTGTCTTCTGAACTTTACGCTGTTTCTAACTCTCAACAGGATACTAGAGTTAAGGTCAAAATAATATAAGACACATCAGTAATTAAAAATAATACCTTTCTGGAAAGAGTTGGGATTTTTTTCTGCTTACTTTTGTTTGGTGTGGTTTTATTTTTGTTTGGATTTTTTTAACAGAGGGAAAAAACTTTAATAAGATGCTGAATTCACACACTAATGGAATTATGGAAATGAGACTATCAAACTCTCAGCCAAAGATAACAAGGAACAAAGAGGCTGGCTTCTGAAAGTGAAAACCACTCCTCTCCAGTCTATTAGATTAGCCTGAGACAGTCAACAAGACAGTAATTACAGAAAGCAATGTGATGAATAGCATTTATATGGTCTTCCAAGAAGTCTTTATTAAAGTCCCAGACAGCAAGTTAAAGAAACTTCTGCAGACATTAAGTAGCTTTGAGGATGGAATCCAAGGCCAGGGCTAGACACTAGCTAACAAAGGAAATCCAGCCTGTCCTCACATTACCAGGCTTTAGCAAGCTCACTTTGTAAAACCCTTGTCTTCGGCAAGGTGGGGGCCAAAGAGCACAGAGGACAACCACACCTGGACACACCATGAACAAACTGAGAAACGACTGAGCAGCTCTACATTTAGTAGGAATCAGTCTCACAGTCTGAGTAATTTTTTATGAACTTGACATGCATTTCCCCTGGAAATTTGCTTGGTAAAGATAAAAGGACGAGAAAGAGAAAATAAAGACATAAGAAAGGTTTATAATTCCTCTAAAAGAAAACTGAGCATATAATACTTATGTTCCTGAACCCTCTTACCTGTTGAAGGGCACTTAAAGGCAGGATTGTCCTCTACTGCCGGCACAACAGGAGTCTTGCAGGCAAACCTCTGCCGGTGTTGCTGCAGGTGCTCCCCAGGATGCACGGCATCAGCCTGACTCGCTTCGCCGGGCTGAGCCATCCGACTGTTCCCTGCGCTCTCCACGCCGCGTGGGGGACCCTCGTGGGGACCTGTGGCCACCCCAGAGTCACCCCCTGGGTGGGGGTTGTACCGAACCACCGAGGAGCCCACAGCAACAGGGCTATTCACAGCAGAAGGGCGGACCCTCGGCAAGTCGGGCTCATCATCTTCAGGGATCGGGTTGTACCATATTTCTCCTTCATCATCTGCGTCGTTATCCTCGCCAAAGTCCAAAGCAGCGCTCCTTAGAGCGGCAGGGCTCGCGGTGCTCAGCAGGGCACCAACGGGAGCGCAGCTTCGTGTGGGGCGCTCCCGCCCCACTGTGGATGTGGAAGGAGTCTGTTGCACTGAGGGGTCAGGCAGCGGGATGGGAGATTTGGGTACTGGGATAACAGCCCCGTGTGTTTCCTTACAGGCATTTTCTTCTCCCAGAGGAGGAGGACGAGGTCGGTGCGTGCTCTGCTGCAGCCAGCTACGTTTCTTAGAAACGGTAATGCTGTTTATCTGCGGCCTGTGCTCGGCGACCTCGCTGGCCTGGGGGGACTTGGGCTCCTTCCTGCTTCTCGAAGCTATGTAAACATTTTCTATTAAATCTGTTCTCAGAAAGAAAGGCAAAAATAGAGGGAAAAACAAGCGTTTAGAATATCATTTTGCTTTTGACAGATGAACACATATGCTGTCGTATCACACTTGTGTTAGACCTCCTCCAGAAGCACAAAAGATAAGTTGATGTGACCATAAAATTAGATTTTTAGCCTGTCAAAGCAGAATGTACACATAATTAATGAAGAGTCAAGCTTGTCTGGCTGTTTTTTTGACACCATGTAATTTAGATAAATGGCAGTGAGATAGCTCTGCTAAAAGGTCACACATACTTACATAGAAATGGCTGCTATTTTTCTGCCAAGTTCAGGTACAGTTGATTTGAAAAGTTGCTACGTAGTATTTCTCCAGTTCACTTATGCCAATGAAGAGATGGCCCCTGCTTTTGGTGTAGTGTACTGCTTAAATGGCTACAAAAACGACACACAGGTTCACGTCTAGATTTATATATAAAGAAAGATGAGGGTATCTCTTGCACAAACACCTCCAGAAAGCACTGTCCTTACTGGCTTCATCCTATAACTAAGACAGAAGCATCCCTTGATTTGTGGGGAACAGAACAAAACACACCATCATGAAAGGAAGGAAGAAACATAGAAAAGTTTTTACACCACAAAAATTTCATGCAACATATAATCAAATTCCACTGACTGCTCCCAAAACTTAACAGAATAAAGCAATTTGGCTGTTGCCAAATTTAATTATGCAATGAAAAAGCAACTTGCACCTGAGCCCCTTGTCAGAACACACCCAAGCAGCACACTCCACAGCAGTGCCATCCCCCTGGCAGGCAGCAGGGCACCGCAGCAGCACATCCAGTCTGGGAAAAATGGGACCACACAAGGAGTGAGCACCTCACCCCTGAGTATGCACCAGCCCCTTCGCTAGCACTGGCAGGAAGCTGCAAATACATCCAGATTATAATCAGGGAACCAGGGTCAGATAACCCTCACACTCCTCTGCACAGGACAACCCAGATAGGCTTTGCTCAACCACTAAGACTGAACAGGGACAACTGGATTCTCCTAAAACAGACAACTTGCTTTCATGTGGAACCTTCTGCAATTGGAAGTTCTGGATGGGAGCAGCTATTTGATACTGCTTGAACATTATTCTCAGCAAAAAATAGTTTACACACTGATAATAGATGACAAACAGCAGACACCTCTCTGGAGAACTCGACTGAGGGGCATCTCTGTAAATCCAGCTAAATTCACCATAGACAGGAAAAAGACTGTCAGTTGAACACCTTCCCTTCAACCCTCTTTTTAGGTTTGTACACTAGTAACAGAAAAGATCCTGAAAGTGAGGTTTACTTGTTTCGCTAAACTGCAATATGAACACTGCTTGTGATTTGAAGAATTAACCTGGTTCAAAGAATTAACAAAATTAACTGTGTTCATTTTGAAGCCACTGCACATCCCCATTGAAGTCCTTTACTACACTGCATCCTAAGTCAGTCAATCAGCAGAATCTGAGGAAAATCTGAAAACAAGGCTGAGGATGCAGATCTCTGGCAAAGTTCCAGTGATTTGGCAGCAACCATATTCCTTCCCCCATCCGTAGCCTGGCAATGGAAGAGTGCCATTGTAAAGGCTCCTCTTTACACAGTTCCACTACTATTTCAAGTAAGAACTACCCAAAATGATTGGAAACTAATCTGCAGTTGGTGTAGGGCTATGCCCACATTTCCAAGAAATCAGTCTGGATCGGGGACTTCTTGGCTGACATCCTCCTGTTGGTGACAACTACCTCAAAGCCCCCACCTCTGCATGGACAGCCCAAGGAGCGGTCCCTGCTCCGGCGACATAAATAGATAGAGCATCTGAGAGCTCTATTTCCACAAACAAAAATATCTGCTACTTCCTGTTTCACTGAAGTACAGGCCCTTCCATGCCGGTTAAGAACGCCTAAAATTCCCAAAACAGTGGGCTCCTAAAAAGCAGAGTGTGACTAAATATACACCCAGTGACACATCTGGCATCAGCCTCAGGCTGCCTTTCAGTCCCAGTGGCAGCAAATGTGCAGAGCAGACTCAAATGTTTTCAACATCTATCCAGGTATCTCAGTAACAAACCATCTGCAAAAGCTTACCGCAGAAACATTAATAATCAAGTAGCTCCAGCATACTCCAACAACCCTACTGCTTGCAGAGACACGCCACCTATCACACATATTCAAAACTAACCCTTCTCTGTCTCCGAATTAGCCAACACGCTGCCAGAGGTCATTGATGGTAAGTGTTCTCTGAATCTCATCCAAATGATACACTTACATGTTCATCTTCCAACTGCAGTTTCTGCAACGGATAGCAGTATTTGCAAGCACTGCTTCCCCTTTATTCGAACTTGGCCCTGATCCTGAAAGCCCTTATGCCTGTGTTTATTTTAGCAACAAACCGTTCCACATGCAAGTATCTGCACAACCCACGGTTCAGTGTCACAGAGCAAGTTTTCAACGTCGTTAGCTGTTATAGTAGCTAGCCAATTTTAAATAAATACAAAGCTTTCAGAGATATACGTGTCAGGAACGTACTTTTTGTTCTAGAGCAAAGCCCCTTCAGAATAACACTGCCTACTCCCTACTAGTACTTTAATATATCTAATACATGCTCAAAACTAGACCAGGCCTCCACATAAATACAGACATGACAATGGTTCCTTCTCAAAATACTTCAATATGGTGTTTAAGAAAAAAAAAAAAAGTTTAAAAAAAGTAAAAAAACCTCAGGTGCTCCCTTCAACTTCCACTTTATCTACAAAAAAAGAAAAAAAAGTATTTAAAGTTAAGCCATTACGGTAATGACACATGTATGCTCAGAAACCAAAGCTTCAATGTTTCAGCTCAACCGAGGTCAAAATTGAAATTCTGCCTACTACGTAGGCATATAAAATATTTCAACATGACACTGTGCATTGCTTTTCAGATTGTAACCAAGAGGGGAATGGCTTTTTCCATCCTCTCCATATATGGATCAAAAAATTCATACATCTTCTGGCTACTACTTACACACATTTTCTTTCACTAAGTTGCCTAGTACAGCTATAAAAAGATAATAATTATGTGTTTAAATGAAACAAGAGCAAGACTAAAAATTTATTTCTAAGTTTTCAAGTGCACCTTTAAAAAAAAAAAAACAAACATAACCAAAAAACCAAAAAACGGTCGTATGAGAAAACGCGCAGGGACTCACACAAAGTAGCGGTCTAAATTCAAGAACCTTTTATTTTAATGAGGAATTCTCACTCCCGGGAAGAAGAGCAATTGCCGAAGTGAAGATGCTCCCGTTGAGCACCGACTCAGGAGCTGAATTCAAGCCCGGCCCCGGCGCGCTCCCTCCCGCGGCGCACCCCGGGCGCTCACGGGGCCC